TCAAGATTACAAGTGATTTTGCGTAAGTACAACTTATTAAAGCTTCATTTTTAAATTCATGTAACTAACTGCAAATAACATAATCAAATACAGGATTTTATGTGTTGTTAAGTTGTACTTACGCATTATCTACTTGCAATCTTGAGTTTAAGTAATATGTATTAATAAACAGTACTTTACATACAAAAAATAGTTTTTAGAGTTTTTGTCAAATGCTTTATAATATATATATATATATATATATATATATATATATATAGACTTGGGATCATGTGAGACCAAGGATTTTTCGTGAGACCCGTAAGACCAATTCTTAACCCTTGGATTAGATCTATATATATAGGTTAAAGAAAGAAAAAATATATAGGTCAAAAATACCCCTACAAGTTTAAAGTTTAATGCTAAAWWTTAACCATTGGATCATTAGATTATAAAATTGATCAATGAACATAAATTGGTCTTACGGGTCTCACGAAAAACCATTGGTCTYACGTGAACCCAACCCTAYATATATATATATATATATATAATATTATTAAAAGAAATAGTAACATTAAAAATTTTAAAAAAAAATTATCCACTTTACTTCAACAAATCAAATAAGGCTCACGAAAAAGTCTAGTTTATTTGTCTAATTGTGAAATCGTGATTTTAGTTGTATGATGTTTGAAGTTATGTTTAGTTTTATACTGTAATCTAATACATTGTTTGTAATTGATTCGATTATATTTGAGACATTTAAACTTGCATCTTTAAAAAAATTGTAATTTACTTTTAATTGTGAAAATTAACATATTGTAATATTTTTAGATCTGTTTTGGGTTTCAGTTTCTGTTATAACCAACGGTGAACGGGAAAAAGAGGATTTTTACCTTAACGGGTTCCCCAACGGGGATTGGGGAAACCGCGGGGACCCGACGGGGATCCCCGATAAGATCCCCGACGGGGATCAGGGAGGTCACGGGGACGGTTTTAGTTATCGGTGTCGAGGACGGGATACCAATAACCGGCCTGAACCTGGCCCGTTGTCATTCTTAGTTTTAAACAAGATCGAGCAAAGGAGATTGAGCAGAGCAGAGCAGAGCAAATCGAGATACAGCGTTGATGAATTGGGATGAGGGCTCAGGAATTTGTCGGATTGGAATTTGAAATCCGTGGTATATGCGGTGAAATTGTGAAATCAATAACTTAAGAAATTTGTTGGAATTGGAAGGATTTTTTCACGTCTATTATGTGAACCAAACATGATATTTGAAATTTGGTCAGAAATTTGGACATTCCAATTCCACCAAATTCCATGAAACAAACACCCCCTAAAAATCCTACCAAATTCTGCAAATCAAAACGGCCCTTAAATTACCTTATCTTCAGCTTTACAAACATGCAATATGGGCATCAGGTTATCTTACATACAGGTTAGGTGGTTGTTTAACGGATACTCGTAGGTGTAGGCGTAAATATTAGGAAGAAGACGATCGTTTATAACAGAATATCAATCGCTATTCTCGTTGTACACATTTTGACATCATCATAAACCGAAGCTATCCATGGCTTTCTAATGTCTCTATCAATTAAAAAGACCAAACTGAAGACATCTCGATTTGTAGTATAACACAAAATATTGGACGATGGACGTCATTTTGAAGTTGTTGAAGCTCAAAGGTCGGTTTTATGCCCCGAATCAATGCCAAGAAGCTTAGCCAGTTGTCCGCTTTCATAAGCTTCAATAGTATCTGTAGTAACCAATAATCAAGACAGGTAAGTTTTATTAGGCTCACCATCGATCATGGAAACCAAAACGAACAAACAATTACAAGTTACTGTTTGTATTTACCATCCGAGCCTCCAAGGTGCTTTCCATTAATGAACACTTGTGGAACCGTACGCCTTCCAACCAGCTCGCTCAGAGCATCCTGGATTTTCCACCCATCCTCTGCAAAACACAACACGCCTCTTGTTAAAATCTCCTAAAAATTAATGTTCATGCTTGACTTTACATACCAATAAATCTTGTCAAGGACAGAAAGGTAATTTAGGCATGCCTACAATATTTGCGTACAAAGATTTTTTCCCCAGAGCGGAGAGTCTTGAACCCACAACCACTGATTCAAGAGACTTGGTTGTATCAGTTGAACTAAAAGGCCATGGGAAGGATGGAAGAAGTATAGTCTTTATTTTATGAAGGTCAACGAAGAAGAGAGTAATTGATCATCCTTTTCCAAAAGGAACTAAAGCTTTTAAGGTAAGTTGCATTTTAAAAGCAAACAACTAAACGACCCACCGGTCTAGTCTTGTAAAAAATGATCAAATAAACAAGATACACAATCATATTTTCGTCTCTTCTGCGCATCCAAGTTGCTCATTATCCAAGTCTTAAAACTGAATACGCCAGCAATTTCAATCATCGGTATAACGGTATTCCTAATCTATTCTCAAAATGCTTGGAGATGATCTCTAATTCTGATTTAGTGCAATGAAGTTGATAATCTAATTCTACATAAATTTCATCGCATTCTCATTATTTATCCTACAACTAAACCATCTTGGTAATGAAAGATGTACTAGGGTCCATCCGTCTTGGTCTTGCTAGTTCCTATATACATTATTTATGTGGCTTCATTGAGCAAAGAGACGATTTTGGTAACTGTTAGATCCTTTCATCATATCCTTCCTCAAACTACAAGCCAAATTTCTTACCATTTTTAGAGATTGTATACTAGAAGCTACTTGATCAATAGAACTCCTTCGGTCTTTCCGGCATCCTCATAATCTCACTCCACGTGATATGTGATTCAAACAACCTCCATCATATGATAATTTACGAACCATTGGATGGTATGTTTTCTGCACAGATCATACTTCTGATATGTTTTCTGCTGGATTTGTTCATGCGTCTTTCTCGTTCATCGTTCTAATTAGAAAGGTTATTGATTATAACCTTCACAACACTGGTTACTTGGTTAGTATACAAGTTGTCTTCAAGAATCATGAATCCTTCGCATTCAACATCCCATACATGAAACTTTTTTTGGTTCATCATGTATTGATCTCTTAGATAGAACCTTGATTATACCATTTATCCTTCCATTGTTGTTAATAAGCACTCTACTTCACATGCCATGGGAAACAATTCTGTTCAATGTCCTGCACTGAGCATGTTCTTGAACCTAACCCTTCTTCTGATCATCAATCATTATCACCAGCTTATTTACCTTTTCACTCATCCTACAATAACACCAATCATTCCTCTCAAAAACACGTGCCTATCGTAATAATCTGCTTCCATGTATTCAATAATTGTGCCCAAACACTTCCACAGAAACTATAATTGTTATAGTCATTTGAGCACTCAAAACCAACTTACCAAAGCCACATCTTATGATTGAGCACTTTAAAGACAAGAGATGGATAATAGCAACAAATAAAAAGACAGAGGATCTTGAAAGGGAAGAAGGCAATTGCAAGTAATCGGTGTATATGATCAAGTATAAGTCGATTGCCACAAATGGGTGTATAAGATCAAGTATAAGTCGATTGCCACAAATGGGTGTATAAGATCAAGTATAAGTCAATTGCAACAAATGGGAGTATAAGATCAAGTATAAATCTGCTAGAAGCATAGAAAGATTGAAGGCAAGACTAATATTATGTCAAGAGGATACAGATGGAAAAACAAAGAGACCTTTGCACCTGTTATAAAATAAATTACTGCAAGAACTCTTGTTGCCATAGGCAAAGGATTGGAAGCTGAGCAATTAGATGGCAATAGTGCTTTTTTGCCAGGAGATATTGATGAAGAATCACACAAGTAGTCAACCAAAGGATATAACATTCATGATGATGTCTACTTTGAAAGTTGAAGATGTCATTCTATGGGCTTAACAAGCTAGTCGTTAGTGGTTTGCTAAGCTTACAACAACTCTTCTTGGTCAAGGTTATACCCACAGTAATGCTGATTGCTTCATCTTCACTGAAAAAACAAAAACGACTTTGAACTTAACGATATGTAATAAACATCATGAAGTAATTACCCCACTTGATCCCAATGTCAGGTTGTATATTCTTGATGGAAATTTACTTAGTGACATGAGGGACTACACTATGAGTAGTGGGGGCAATTGTCCCCAGTCAAACCAAATGTATTCACCTACCCCATGCAATATTTACCAGATATTCACCTCCATTTCCAATATGTTTGCATAATTTTATTTAACTTGGTATGGTTTGTTTTTGGTTGAGTTTCAATATCTGAAACACCCTAGAAATCAAGGTTTCTATTTGTGTGTTTTTATATGAAAAGGTGATGTTCAAGATAACTTCTAATTTCATTCTAATTTGCACTCCCAGCAGAAACTATGGAATATTTGCAGTTTCTATGGTTTTTAACTACATATGATTTGGTCCTTGACAACTAAAATGGAATTTCTTCGGTTCACACTCTGCCCCAGTTTCTGGATCCGTCACTGCTTGGTGATGCCTCCTTTTAAGTAGACTGGTTGGCAAACTATGTATTTGACGATCACAGACTTGTCATTTGCTGCTCAAGTGGTTGGCCATCATGCTCCATGTCCTCATGTCCCTCATCTACAAGCTTCGCTAATGAGATATATCAAGCTAGCCCTTGGACAAGGTTTCTTTTATCCCTACGATAATGATTTGAAGTTATTTCCTTCGTGATAGTAACAGGGGTAACTGACTTAATACTCACAGATCCATCTTTGGTGGTTGTTTATTTCTTGGGGAAGCTTCAGTCGGGAGGCAATCCAAGAAGCAACTCCTTTCAAGCTCTTCCAAAAAAGCTTAGTATCCTTCTTTGGCTGACAATGATTGTGATATTACATGATTGGTTACTCTTTTAAAGAATTTGGATGTTGTTCCAACTCCATTTCCTACACATTGTGATAGTCCTTAGACATTGCATTAGCTTCTAATCTAAGCCATCATCTCACATTAAGCATATTAAATTTGATTGCCACTTTGGTTGTGGCAAACTACTTCAA